TTCTCCAGAACCTGCACCGACTTACTCGGCTGTAGCGCAGGCCTTTGCTCCCCGCTCTCCTCGCCGCCAAAACGGTGGCGCACCACTCGTCCGTTTGACGGACATTGCCTTGTATGACGGTACAGGCATACGCGTGTCTCAGTGGCTACAGTCTGCCACCCGCACCCTCCAGCTCATGGGCGCCCCACCCGACACGTGGGTGGCTCACCTCTCCACGCGTCTGCCTGGCGGTCCTTTCGACGCCTGAGAGGATTTTTACGCTTACTCCCTTCGTGTGGGTCGGACTCCGACCTTCATAGATTTTCAGGCGTGCCTCGAGGATCGCTTCGGAGCCCGACATGATGTGACTGACGCCTTCGAGCGTGTCGTCACTACACGCTGGTTCGGCTGTGGTGGCGCTGCAGGCCTGGATCGCCACATCTAGGTCTTTCATGACGCCCGCCTCGTTTGTGATGTGGCATTCCTCCCCGAGGCTGCCCTTATCAATCGTTTCTTGGCCAGTCTTTCGCTCGAGTACCGCTCCGAGATATGGCGGTAAGAGTTCACATCGGCCCCGCAGGTTTACGAGGCCGCCAGGGACCATCAGCGGATGCGGGCCCGTCTTCAACACACTTCCTCCTCCCAACCTCAACGTATTGGTTACGCCCCCCCCTCCTCTCACGTCACTTCCCAACGTCGTTCCCCTTTTCGGTCGCCCCCGTCGTTCCGTGCAGCCGGGCCGCCACTTCTCGCGCCTCTTCAGCGCGCTCGAGTATGGTGAGCAGGACGCTGTTGCCCCGCTGTCGCCAGAGGGTGACCATAGCGACGACCTGGACCTCGGCGAGGCTGTCCACTACCACCTGGAGGAGTCTTCTCTCGCTATGGCCGAGCGCCTCCAGCTCATCCTCTCTACCCTCTCCCGGGCACGCAGCCGCCCTGGTCACGCTGGCGCGTCGCCCCCCAAAGTCCCTCAGCAGGACCTCCCTCAGGGCTTTGTCCCTCCTCGCGGTATCCTTTCCGCTGAGGAGCGCGCGGCTATTTTGGGCCGGCGTGGGTGTTTGCGCTGCCGCCAGGACGGTCACACCTCCTCGCGGTGCCTTTACACCGCCGCCCTCGACCGCCACTACGCTGACCTTTCCCGCCAGCGTCGTGCTCAGTCCCCCCCCGGCGCCTCACATCCCGCGGCGCCTCCTAACCACGGTGCAGTGTACACTTGCGCCCTCCTCAGTAGTCGGCTTCCCGACATCCCCGTCGCGGTTTGCCCCTCTCGCTACTAGAGTTGAGGTCTCGCAGGACCCGACAGAGTGTACTCAGCCCTCTGTCATAGTACCGTCTGCGCGCAGACCACCGTCTCCCCTCCTACCCCGCCACGACTACTGACGCGTCCAGCCATTCGCTCAGCTCGTTGCAGCGAGAAGCTTGCGACTCGCGAGGACGTTGTGTCCTCTCTTCTGGACTTGAGCATGCTCCAGGCTCGTCAGGAGTGACTCACCCTCCATGTCACTGCACTGCGTCGCCTTCTCACCATCCTCTCTGACCCTGATTGCACCCTCCCGATCATTCCAGTACAACTGGGGACCTCCACGAGGGTGTACTCAGCGCAGTGGGACTCCGGTTCTCAGAGCGACTTCATTCACCCACGTGTGGTGAAGGAAGCCCGCTTACCCACAACAGGGTCTCCGACTCTCATCTCTGTCACCCTAGGGGATGACAAGACCCAGCGCTTCTTCGATCAGACGGTCACCGACCTCCCTTTCTTCCTCACTCTCGAGCCGACTGATCGTCTCCCGGCGTCTCGTCACCACTGCTCCTCTGCACATTTCAATGTGATGGAGACGGGGTACGACTTCATACTCGGCACTCCGTGGTGTCGTCGGTTCCGCAGCACCGAGGCCGATTGGGCGACCAACACTCTCGTTCTCAAAACGAAGTGTGGACAGATGTATCGCGTACCTTTCATCGGTACCACTACGACACCACACCCCGATCCTCCTCCCCCGGAGCCTTCCGTGCCCACACCATCTCCTACGATCACTGTCACCTCTTCTCGGCAGTTTGATCACTTCATTTGACAGGACGACGTCACCTTCTTTATGGTGAACGTGACGGATCTCTTACACTATGATCCACCCTGTCCCGACGCCGAGCTCATCCCTCTGGAGCCAGATCCTCCTTCTATCTCCATGGCTCCCATCTCTACTTCCCACCCTCCGCCGTCTGTCGAGTCTACCCTGCCGTCTCGCGCTGATGCTGACGCTGAGGAACTCGCACGATATACGGCTGACCTGGAGCCCGAAGTTCGTGACCTCGTTCGAGAGTACCACGACGTTTTCCCATCGTCGTTCTCGTACGCCGCCATCCGACCGATGCGCGACATCGAGCACTCCATCCAGCTTGTGCCTGACTATCGTGTTCACCACCAGGCACCCTACAGACTCTCGATCCTCGAGGCCACTGAACTCAAGCGTCAGCTTGAGGAGCTCCTGAGACTGGGTTTCATTAAACCCAACAACTCCCCATGGGGTGCACCCGTCCTCTTTGCTTGCAAAGCGGATGGAACTCTCCGTCTCTGCATCGACTATCGCGGTCTCAACCACTACACGGTTAAGAACAGCTACCTCATGTTTCGTTCCGATGAGTTGTTTGACCGCTTAGCGGGCAACCGCTTCTTTACGACGATTGATCTTCGTAGCGATTACCATCAGATCCGCGTCGCTGCAGCGGACCAGCCGAAGATAGCATTCCGATTGCGCTTCGGCCACTACGAGTTTACGGTGATGCCATTTGGCCTCACCAACGCACCCGCTACCTTCCAGAGGGCGATGAACGACATTTTCAGGGACATCCTGGAGCAGTACGTTCTCGTCTACCTCGACGATATCCTGGTCTACAGTCGTACCCTTGAGGAGCACCTCAAACACCTCCGCGACGTCCTTGACCGCTTACGCAGACATGGCTTCTACGCCAAGCTGAGCAAGTGCCGCTTTGCCCAACACAAAGTGGATTTCTTACGACACTACGTGTCTGACCAGGGTCTCCACATGGACGACACGAAGATCATTGTTATTGCGGAGTGGCCCGTCCCCACATCCGCCAAGCAGCTTCGCAGCTTCCTAGGCCTTACTAGCTACTATAGTAATTTCATCCAGGGATACGCTAGGTATTCCTACGTCCTTACCTCCACCCTCCTTCGGAAGAACCCGCCATGGGCTTGGACACCCCTCCACGAGGACGCCTTCCGAGAAGGCGGTGACATGTGCACCGGTTCTTCACCTACCCGATTTTGATCGCCCTTTTATCCTTACCACCGATGCGTCAGACTTTGCCGTAGGAGCAATGCTTTCTCAGATTTTCCCCTCCTCTCCTGATTCCTCTCATCCTCGTATCCCTTGCTTCCCACCCCCTACCCCTACCACTGCCTCTCGCCTGACGCCTACTCGTCCAGCTACTGACCAACCTTCTATTGATTATTTTCCTACCATCGCCGAGGACGGCACTGTCGAGTCTCGCTCAGGTGATTGTTCGATAGCCTTCTACTCTCGTCAGCTCCTGCCCACCGAGATAAACTACACCGCTGATGTACGTGAGGTTCTCACAGTAGTTTATGCCGCTCGGCACTGCCGTCACTACCTGCACGGGGCACCATTCACAGTGCGCACGGACAACTCTGTTGTCCAGGCTTTTCTAACAAAACCGAAGCTCACTCCTCGACAGRCTCGCTGGTGGCGCGACCTATCCGAGTTTAGTTTCACCACTGAGCACATCAAAGATGAGACTAATCGGATCGCAGATGCCTTATCCCGGCGCCCTGACCACGATCAGGAGCAAATCCAGCTCTCTTCCATCTCGGTCACCACCGTCCACCACTCGGTGATCGACGAGTTTCGCACTCAGTACCGCCACTGCCCCGACTATCGCGACATCCACGCGACCCTTCGGAGTGGCAAGACCGTCCCGAGCTACTCTCTCGGGGACAACGGTTTTGTGTACTGGCACGGTTCACAGGGCACCAGAGAGCCCCGTATTTGCGTTCCCTCCACTGGACAGCTACGTGTCCGAGTAGTAGTAGAGTTCCATGACCAGGCAGCCGTCGGTTATATGGGCTTCCACAAGACGTTGGCTCGTGTGAGCCGCCTGTACGTCTGGTCGAAGCGCAAGGACTTTGTGAAGGACTACGTCGCAGAGTGTCCCACCTCTCAGGAGGTGAACAGTGCGAACCACTTGCCTTATAGTTTGCTCCAACCTCTTCCTATCCCTGAGGGTCGTTGGCAGTCCATCTCGATGGACTTTATCGGTCCTCTTCGTCCTCCTACCCCCCGTGGTCATGATGCTATCCTGGTCGCCGTTGACCGCTTCACGAAGCGAGCACGCTTTGTTCCGTGCCGCTATGCCATCAGTGCACGTGAGCTCGCCGACATCGTGTTTGACCGAGTCGTGCGTGACCACGACTTACCTCTGAGCATCATAGGACATTGCTGTTTTGTGACATTTTCTATCCTAGGTTGCATCGCATGGACTCAGCATGGAGCTTGCACCGCATCCTAGACTACTCAGGTTTTCTTTTTTCTTTGGCAGAGTTCCGCTTCTTGACGGAAGCGTGCTTGTATCTAGGCGATCCATCACAGGCCGAGGATCGTGTAGCGGACCTCTCGTTGGCCTGTGAGACCAGCTCCCTGGCCTGTTCTCACAGGCCTGTGTTCTATTCGGGGCAGTCCAGTCCAGGCCGGTACCTCTGTCGGTACCAGCCAGTCCAGTCCAGTCCCGTCAGTCCGCTGGGGTATACCCTAGCTGTTGCCTATTTTTGGATTCATTCTGCATTCGCACAGTTTGGAGTACGTGTGTTCGAGCCTGGCGTGGGAGCTGCGCTGTGCCATCTCGCTCCCCTTCTTCCTCCATCTCCATGTCTATCCCTGGCGGAGCACCACACCTGGTGGGTCCGCCACACTTCTTCGATCATCAAGAGTTTCCGCATCTGCGCTCATTAGCGCTTGTTATCAACACCAAGTCCAGCGCCCTACTGGTAAGTATCCTCCATAGCTCACTCTCTCTCTCCCTCTTATCTCCCTCTCACTTGATGGTTCAGGTCTTTGCTCTTCACAGTCTTCTTCTTCTCACATTCGCACTCCCTACTACTAACACACACATGAGGATCAACTCTGAATACTACTCACTGGTCTACTTCTACTGACATACTAACTACATTGCCTCCTAGCGCTGGCGCAGCTATGGCTGCCTTCCTCTCTGCCAGCGTCCACCTTCCTCTCTCTCTCTCACTCAGCGCTGCTCTCTGGCATAGCGCAGCTCTCTTACATCTGGCGGACAAGTGCACTAGCACTTCCACACTCTCATGCGAGTGAACATCTGCTTGAATGGTAGGCTGGCCAGTCCTTTTGTAGTCTTGGAATGCACTTCAACTAGTGGCAGCCACTGCCTTTTGGGGCTTGACTGGTTCCGGTACCACATCCCCACGGCCTGTCTGGTTCTGAATGTCAAGGCCTGGAGCCTTCCCGAATTTCCATGGATCTGCTGCTGCTTGGGCCTTTGGGTCATGACTTTTCATTTGTGATCATGACGTTTGACTGTGGACTGTGTCTCCTGCCTCTGGGACACGACTCTTACCTGTGGAACTGCCCTCTTACTTGTGGGATGTGACTCGTCAATACGACTTTTCATTCTGAGACGTGACTCTTGCCCCTAAGATGTGACTGTTTACTGGGTTCCTGTTGGACTGGACTCCTGAGGTGCCCGATTGTGTCTTTTCTGAATTTGACGAGCTCGGTCTCTCTTAACCAGGCCTCTGACCCTGAGACCCCAATTTCGGGTCTGAATCGTGGAAGGCCTTTCAGTCCGTCCCTCCCGCTTTTTTCCCACTATGGGAATCCTCGGCATATCTGCCTGTGTTTCCGCTGAAGTTCATCTAGCCAGCTTTGACTATCCTCGGTATACCCGCCTCCTCCTTCCCTTATCCAACCGAATACCGACCCTCTCATCCTCCTTATCCCGCATTCTCCCCCTCCCCCTTCATCCTTCTGCTGCTACTCCACCCCCTCAAGATTTCGATGGCAACCTTCTCCTCCCTGCCTGACCAGGCACCTGACCTCCCCCTAGCGTTCCTTCTCCCCCTGCCTCTCCGCATTCAAGGAATGATCCTCACCTACTCCTTCCGATAGAGACGTTAAGCTTTTTTCTATTATCCTTTGATCGTGTTCATCGTCGCCATCCTCCCCCTTCTCCACCTCGTCCTCTATATCCTCCCTCCTCATCAACGTGGCAGTACTGTGGACAACAACCTATCCCGGGGGATTGTACATCTACGTAACATCATTTTCTAATCACATATATCCCTCTCCTTTGATCTCCTCCCCTTCATTTCCCTCCATGACCTAGCTTCTCTTTCCCCCACTTCTCCC